TATAAAATATATCGTTCATAGAAATTTAATTAAAATATAATTAAGTATTAAATTTATATATAATAATTTTAATAAAGTGATAATTAAAAAATAGGAAAAAGATATGATAGGCATACGTGTATGGTAATAATAATGTGTTATCAATGTTAGAAACAAAAACTAACGGTGTTATAACGGTGTAAGGGTAGTTTTGTCTAATAACATTGGAATGTACAACATTTAAAGTAAAATGTACACATTTATTTGCATACAAAAGAGGGACATAAATCAAGGATATAACCTTAATTGAGGCTTATTATGTTTTTAGATATATATATATATATATATATATATATATATATATATATATATATATATATATATATATATATATAGAATTAGGTTCTGGTGCAGTTAGAGTGCCCAGGTGCGGTTGTGCGGTTTAATCTGGACCATTCATCTCGCTTAAATCAACGTTCAGAATTGTCAAAATTTTAAAAAAAAATGGCGGTGGCAATTTTGTAATTTTTGCATGTAGGTCAAAATTAAGGTGAGCGGATCTGTGATTAATGTGCGTGGGGTTTGTGCTTAATGTGCGTGAGGTTGTGTTTAATGTGTGTGAGATTTGTACTTAATGTGCGTGAGGTTGTGCTTAATGTTGAAACTTAAAATCTGTGAGTTAATATATTAAAGTGCGTGGGGTTTGTGTTTAATGTGCGTGAGGTTGTGTTTAATGTGTGTGGGGTTTGTACTTAATGTGCGTGAGGGTCAATAGTTGTTGAAACTTAAAATCTGTGAGTTAATATTTAAAGTGCGTGGGATTTGTGCTTAATGTGCGTGAGGCTGTGCTTAATGTGTGTGGGGTTTGTATTTAATGTGCGTGAGGTTGTGCAGACGCTATCATTTATGTAGACGCTATCATTTGTGTAGACGCTGGGTAGGCGCTATCTTCTTCCCGACACGCGTTTTTTTTTTTTTTTTAATTTTTATTGATTTGAGCCGTTGATCTAAATTTGATCAACAGCTCAGATCTAACCGCACAACCGCACGGGAAGCTATACCCGCACCTGAACCCTTCCCTATATATATATATATATATATATATATATATATATATATATATATATATATATATATATATATATATATATATATATATATATATATATATATATATATATATAGGGGTGTGCTCAGGTGAGAACAGCCGCTCAGGAGAGAAACAAGAACCATTTACAGTTGCCCACGTGTCTATATCAACGAATCAGATGTAATTTTAAAAATTCGACGCGGTGGTATTTTCGTAAATAACTCGAACTTTGGTGCAAGAAAATGTGTTATAAGTGTAAGTAGCAGGTGCATCTTTGTAAGTAAAAAGTACAAGTAAAATCACTTACAAGTGCAAATAATTTATCTTAGGGAAAATGGTCAAATAGGCCCTCGAACTTTAGTTTAAAAGTCAATTAGACCCCTAAACTTTTTAAAGGTGCAATTACACCCATCAACAATTCATTTAGGTGCAATGAAGCCCAAAAATAAATTAATGACCTGTTATCACAGGTCATTAGGGTTCAGGCCACCTTCCGGCAAAAAAAAAAAAAGTGACCGGCGAAATTTTCGACAAAAAAAAAATTGACCGGCGACAGACGAACGGTCGCCGGCGGTCACTTTTTTTTTTTTTTGCCAGAAATTTCGCCGGAAGGTGGCCTGAACCTTAATGACCTGTGATAGCAGGTCATTAACTTGTTTTTGGGCTTCATTGCACCTAAATGAATTGTTGATGGGTGTAATTGCACCTTTAAAAAGTTTAGGGGTCTAATTGACTTTTAAGCTAAAGTTCGAGGGCCTATTTGACCCTTTTCCCTTTATCTTATAACATTCGTGCATCTAGACGCAACTAATTATAACTTTAGGTAGTGCAACTAGTTATAACGTTATTAGGTGCACTTAGTATTGATTCTCAGTGTAAATTTATTTACACATGTAATACATTTTACTTGCACTTGTATACATTTTACTTGCACTTCGATATTCAATTACTTACAAAAATACCACCGCGTTTTTTTTTAAAAAAAAAAAAAGATTAGTGTTTTTTTATCTGTTAGATCTGGACACGTGGTCGATTGTCATGCGTTCTGAGTTTTCTCCTGGGCGCACCGTTCTCACCTGAACGCAGCCCTATATATATATATATATATATATATATATATATATATATATATATATATATATATATATATATATATATATATATATATATATATATATATATATATACCTAAGAAAATGTAGGTAATCACATTACCTTTAATTTATACATTACCGTCATATCAGCTTTGAGGTAATATAACATTACCAGATAATCTCATAACTTGAACCAAACAATGTATCAGAGGTGTTATCACACTACACAGTAGATGACCTTTCAAAGTATTACTTATTCCTTAAAAAGTGTTACTCTTTGATTGAAAAAATATTATATTTCTCTTGAAAGTATTACATGTTCTATGATAAGCGATATATTTTTAAATAATTTAAAATCACTATATTTAAAAATACCCAAGTTATCTCTCTCTCTCTCTCTCTCTCACACACACACACACACACACACACATATATATATATATATATAAAACGTTTTCATTGAAAAGTATTACTTTTTCTTTGAAACTATTACTTATTTTAGAAACCGTATTACATGCTTGCTACAAATTAAGGTATACTTTTATTATTATTATTAAAAAATATTATATTTTTTTTTATCGAAAAATATTACATTCCTTTTGAAAAGTATTACACATATTGTTGATAATACAACTACTAATAATAATAATAATAATAATAATAATAATAATCATCATCATCATAATATTAATAATAATAACCTCATTATACTATATATAAAAATAACACCTGTATAATACGAATAATTTACAATTAAAGACAATAATAATAATAATAATTAAAAATCACTTTTTATAATTAAATATTTATAAATAAAAAGAAAAAATTTAAATAATATTTACAATTTACAATTAAGGAACATTTCATTAAACCTAGCTAATACTAATAAATTACAAATTAACTTTCGTGATTTTACTTTATTTGTGAGTAGAAGGTCTACTTTTACCTCTGGAATACTTGCAATTGCTAGGTTCAATATATACTTTCTAGCTAGCTTATATGTAATTGTCATTGGTGTTGTTTTAAGCTTTTTATCACCAAATCTCTACAGGGACAATACCGCTAGAAATGAGTGACCTTAACAATTTGCAGCAGCTAGATCTAGGTGAAAACAACTTGATAGGTTCAATCCCAGCAAGAATATTCAACATATCAGAGTTATTCAAAGTGTCACTTGAACTTAATAACTTGTCAGGGAAGTTACAGTCAAGTGTGAAGATGAGTGTACCAAATCTAATAGCAATATCTGTTGCTTCGAATGAACTGAGTGGGAATATACCGTCATTTCTCGTGAATGCATCTGAACTTGAATTTCTAGACATGTCTCAAAATAAATTCATGGGTTTCATTCCAAGTTCTCTCGGTGATCTAAGATCGTTGGAGTGGCTGAATCTAGAATTCAACAATTTGCATAGCCCGAAATCACGATTTGATAAAGAGTTGAGTTTTATTAGTTCCCTAACAAAATGCAGGAAGTTAAGAAAATTGTCCTTTAGTGAAAATTATCTAAATGGAATTCTTCCATCTTCTATAGGAAATTTTTCAAGTGAACTTGAAATTCTTGGGTTGGGAGGTTGTGGGATAATGGGAACTATACCCCCAGAAATTGGAAATTTGAGCAACATACTAGATTTAAATTTAGATGAAAACTACTTGGGAGGATTTATTCCTACAAGCATGAAGAGGCTATCAAAGGTTCAGATATTGGGTCTTCAAGGTAACAAGTTGCAAGGATCAATTCCAATAGAGCTTTGCTATCTCCCAAATTTGGGCAAGTTAGATTTGGAAAGTAATAGACTTAATGGAAAAATTCCTTATTGTCTTGGGAATATTACTTCATTAAGGTACTTTTATCTTAACTCAAACAACTTGACTTCCACGATACCTGCAAGTTTATGGAGTCTCAAAGATCTATTGGAATTGAATTTGTCTTCCAATTCAATAAATGGTTCATTGTCTTTTGAAATTGGAAACTTGAAGTCCCTCATCTTCATGGATCTATCATCAAATCAAATTATGGGCAATATCCCTAGCACATTTGGAGCAATGCAGATGCTAGAAAATCTTTCTTTGGCACACAATCGTTTGCAAGGTTTGATTCCGGAGTCACTAGGTAACATGTTAAACTTAGAAGAATTGGATCTATCAGTTAACAATTTACTTGGTGAGATTCCAAAATCATTTGAAAAGCTTTTGCATCTCAAGCATTTCAATGTTTCCTACAACATGCTAAGTGGAGAAATTCCTAGTGGAGGCCCTTTTGCAAACTTCACCAACCAATCTTTTATGTCAAACCAAGCCTTATGTGGGGCCCCTTGGTTTCATCAGTGCACCACAGCTCATCATCATGTTCATAAAGTAAGGAGAAAATACATTTTTATCAGTGTATTTGTTTTTCTATCAATTTTAACTATGGCAGTTGTTGTGATTATTGTATTTGAAAAAAGAAAGAAGAGAACCAACAAATCATTAGAAACGAATCTACCATCACGGTGCATCCACCAAAGGATTTCATACTATGATTTGCAACGCATGACAAATGGTTTTAGTGGTAGTAACTTGCTTGGGAAAGGTAGCTTCAGTTCTGTTTACAAAGGAATATTGTCAAGTGGGACTTCTTGTGCTATTAAGGTGTTTGACATGGAAATACAAGGTGCACTCAAGAGTTTTGATGTAGAATGTGAAGTAATGCGTAACTTACGACATCGAAACTTTGTCCGAGTAATCAGTAGTTGCTCAAATCTAGACTTCAAGGCCTTGGTGCTTGATTACATGCCTAATGGAAGTCTAGATAATTGGCTTCACTCAAATGAAAATTTCTTGGATATACATCAAAGACTGGATATAATGATAGATGTGGCATCAGCAATGGAGTATCTTCACCATGATTATTTTGTACCAGTCGTTCATTGTGATTTGAAACCCTGCAATATTTTGCTAAATGAAGAAATGGTTGGTCATGTCAGTGATTTTGGGATAGCCAAGTTCCTAGATGATGAGCAAAGCATGGCACATACAAAGACCTTGGCTACATTTGGGTATATTGCTCCAGGTGACCTCAAATTTCAATATCTTCTTCATACTTATTTAATCATATATATTATCATCTTTAATCTTTTTTCTAGTGATGAATAGATATTATATCTTATTCAATTCTAATTTTATAGAATACGGATCTCAAGGGCTGGTATCAATTCGGAGTGACGTTTACAGCTATGGTATTGTGTTGATGGAGACATTCACAAGGATGAAACCAAGTGATAACATTTTCTCTGGGGATTCAACCTTAAAGCACTTGGTAGAGTCTTCACTACCAAATGCAATAACTCAAGTCATAGACTTGAATTTATTGCCTCAAGAGCAAATTGAAATATTCACCAAGCATGTAGAATGTGTTACTTCTATTATGAAAGTAGCCTTGAGATGTTGTGAAGATGCACCTGAAGAAAGGATTAGCATGAAAGATGTTTTGGTTGCACTCAAGAAGATCGAACTTCAATTTCTTGGTAGGAATGCATTAGCTTAAACATTGAAAATAAGCATATTTCACACAAGACTTGTTATTGTGTTGTTTTTGTTGTTGTTGTTGCTATTGTTGTTGCTGTTGTTACTGTTACTGTTATTGTTATTGTTATTGTTATTGTTATTGTTTTGAGAGTTGGGATTGAAGTTGTTATCAATCATAGACTAATGCGTTTAATTAAACTATGATTTTTATTTTTATTTTTATTTTTGTTGGCACCCACTAAAATGTTTTAAACAATGATAAAACCAAAATGTATGAGTCTTTTATATCCCCCTATATTTCTCTTCTTCTTATACAATTAAAAAGCTACGAGATTGCCACAAAAAGGGGTGATCTCAGGGATGATGCATGATTCTCGTAGCTGAAGATCACAAATTCAATTCATGTTAACATCTTCTCGGTCGGATTTGTTACACATAAAGTGTGTTTTACAATTTACGAATAATTACACTAATGCTATGTTTAGTCACCCCTTAAGGTCGTTGTTCGAAAAATATTCGAAATTAGGTTCAAAATTTCTAATTTTCTTTGTTGTTGTGGATTTATTATGTCGGTCCAAATATGTGAGCTTTCTCTACCGGAAAGCCCAATCTTTTGTTAGGCTTATCAAAATTCAAAAATTCCACAGCGCACATAGGTTGATGATGACTCTGAGTTAAAGCATGCCGACTAAGATGACGCTAATGGCTGCATCCTTCGCCAATCCGCCCTCTAACCTGCGCCGCCGTCTCCGCCACCCTCTATTCTTCGTGGCTGGCCCCGCAGCCACCGGACCTCATCAAATGGGTCAAGAGAGAAGGTGGGTTCGTGCACCCGTCGGTGAAGATCGAAATCTCAGAGCCCTATGGCCTCGGCGTCGTTGCTTCTGATGATATCCCCAAGGGGTCTGACCGCATTGCCTTGCCCGAGCACCTCCCGCTGCAATTAGAGAAATAACACTTTTCATTTCTTAATTATACTTATCTAACCGTCATGGACAAATAATAACACTATGGAAGGAGGTATTAGAAATGCCCAAGGGATAACTTTCAATTGGAATTATAACCGAAAAGATGCTTCAATTAAGTTTAGGCTAAAAACACGATGACTAGGAGAAAGTTGGACATGGATAGATCATCATAAATAATAATGCAATATAAAGTCACTCAAAATAGTTTTTTCTTTTTTAACTTATTGGTATTAATAAACAAAAAAATTATCAGCATAATAGCATATCATTCCTTTAGGTATTCTGTTTGAGGTACTTTTGATTCAACCATTATTGTTGAATAAGTGCTTGTAGATAGAAAAATTTCTAGTTTATTTAAAGAATAAGATCACATAATGTTGTAAAATTTTATATATTTTAAATACATATTTAAAAAAAGGTAATTTGAAGTAAATACTTTTGATTGTGCAGCGTGTAAAGAAATATGCACTAAATTAAAGTAAGTTGCACAATTTCTTGCCCAATCTTCACGGTACGGTGTGCATGCATTATTTCTCCTTCAACAATTTCATAGCAAACATATATACAATGTATCTTTTGGAGTACATTCTGACCAAGACTTTGTGAAAATAGCTAGTCTAGTCTATTTTGTTTCCTTCTTCTTTTCTTTAAAATATTATTGAAATTTGATTAATTTCACTTCAGAGGGATAAAACTAGCTAGTCATTCTAGAGCAATAAGATCATTATTGTAATACATGTTCATCTTTAATTACTTTCTCAATCTGTTGAAGCATAAAGAGTTAACACCGCCTCCAGACTTGATCTTATGACTTTCCATATGAGAAAGTCACTACATGTCATCTGAGTATAATGTGCTTGGCATGTCAATAGGGACAAGATTTTGCACAATCACTTGGAAAAGAATGACACTCACTATTACAAAATAGAACATATCAATGTGACTTTTCTCCATTATTTTTTCTAAAAAAAAAAGGTGTTTGGTTTAAAAAAAATGTACTGTGACAAAATTATAAATAATTTAATAAAAAAATTGCGATCCTTTTTAAATAAAAGGAACGAGATTTCTTTAAAAAAAAAAAAAAAAACATTGAGTTTTCGCTTCAGGATGAGTCGCGAAAACTCGGTAAATTAAATATTAATGTGTGCATGTCCATGACTACTTTTGAATTTCTATTTTTCTTTTATTTCGAAATTTGAAAATTTTAAGATAGTTATTCTGATTAAATATTAATATTAATATTAATGTGTACATACCTATGAATTGTGAATTTCTATTATTACGAAGTTTTTTATTTTGAATTTTTACATTTTAAATGTCTAATTTTAAATTCTAATAAATATGCACTAAAAGTAAGTTGCACGGTGTGCATGCATTATTTCTCCTTCAACAATTTCATAATAAAAAAAAAAATCTGGAGGGTGTGGTTGAGTGGAAGGAACTTATCCATCCTTAATCAAAGATCAAGGGTTCGATCATTGGCTTTTGGAATGGAGCAGACGTAAATCTACAGGCCAACTGTCCAACCCAAAAGATGTGCCTACAATTCAGAGAGGAGATTAGTCACTGTGTCTGACGGTGGAAATCCTAGATATACCAAAAAATTTCATAGTAAACATATATAATGTATCTTTCGAAGAATCCACGACCAAGACTTTGGGCTATTTTGATAAACGATAAATTTGTTAAAATTTTGATGAATCTATCATTTTTATGCCAAATACTTCATTTGGTAAACAAAGATTTGACTCCAAGCCATTGAAACCTCAAACATTGCAAATAGAGTATTTGGGATTTGATGTTTTGAACGCCCTAGTCAATACATAAAAAAAAAAATACTCCATTTTAAAAGCATCAAAGGCTTTCGAATAAAAAAGCGTTGAGAATTTCCTTCATTACCCATCCGATGTGAGATATCAGATGGGTAATGCAAAATGAAGGAGGAGCATTGAGGGGTTTCGAGAGTTAATACCTCTAATGGTCCTTCGAGTATTAGCCATTTACCAACGGTGGTCATCCGACTTTTAAACGACCACGAGACGTCCTCAAAGTTTTAAAAAGTAACCACACATGGTCCTCCGTTAGATTTTCTGTCAAATAGGCGTTAAATGTACGGGCAAAATTGTCATTTCTCATTTTAGAGTTTAAAAAAAAAAAAAAAAAAAAAAAAAAAAAAAAAAAAGAGATTTCTTTACCCTCACAGACGAGAGTGACGTTGCTCCATTTGTAGCTGGCGCCGCCGAAATGACGGTGGAGGAAGCCAAAGACGACGAGTCGCACCCGGCGTTGTTGTTCGGCGTCAACTGCTCGTCGGAGTCCGGCGGCGAGACGCTAAGCCGGCTCGGGTTATACGCGGAGAAGAAACTCGGCTCGTTCATCGGATGGTGGTGGTGGTGGTGGTTAACCGCCACCTGCGGCTGCGCCGTCTTCCTCCGGTGGATCTCACACTACTTCTGCAACTTCAATTCTTAAAGGGGGAAATAATTTCATCTCATTCAAGGTTGGCCAAGAAGTCATAGCAAATTCGACAAGAGTTGCAAAAAGAAAGAAACAGCAATCAATAAAAACAAAACATGTTATGTTAGGTATACAACTGAGAAATGTCTTAAGCATAAACAAGAAACTATTATCCTTGTAACAATACTACTGCACCTCCTAATCGAACAACCTGAATCCCATGTCATCGTCACTCTCTTCCTTAGCTTCTTCTTTCTTTTCCTCGGCAGCTGGAGTAGCAACGGCAACAGCGCCACCTCCACCACCGGCGCCGACGTTCATGATGAGATCCTCAATATTCCTCTTCTCACAGAGCTTGGCGAAGAGGCTAGGCCAGTACGACTTCACAAGTGCAGCAATCTTCTTTGCAGTAACGGGGATTCCATCGTTGCGAGTTCTCCGATCGACATTCTCGATCTTCAATCTACAGGTATACGATGCTACTAGGGATTTCTTGCTGCTAACGTGATACGGTGCTAAAGACTTCGAAGAGCTTATTTTCACTAATCAATGTTTTCACTTGGTAAAAAGACAAATTTTCCCTTTAACTTAAAGCCTATTTGACAGAAAATTTAATGGAAAACCACGAGCAGGGGCGGAGTCAGAATTTTGAGGTGCGGGGGGCCAATCACAATTTAAAGAGTTTATTTAACATCTTTCAAAATACATAATTATATTATAAATCTACTAAAATTTGAGATGTCTTCCAGAATTCAATGGCTCAATACTTGTAAATGAATTTACTTGATGTTGAATTTCAGAATTCTTTCTTTTATAAAGAAAAGATCAATTCTTTGTGTCTTTTTCATTTCAACTCAAACCTCCAATGTTCACAGTGTTTTTTTTTTTTTTTGACAAATCAATTGAATAAACTAAAACTGAAAAACAAAAAAGAATAAATAGACAAAGATTAAAGTAGTAGAAATTTAAAGATTTTGGTAGCAAAATGACAATTTATTATTATAATAAACACACTTACAATGTATTTCATTTGTAAATTATTATTATTTTTTTTTTAAAAAAAAAGACAAAGGTTAAAGTAGTAGAAATTTAAAGATTTTGGTAGTAAAATGACAATTTATTATTATAATAAACACAATTGATCAATTATTTGTGTCTTTTTCATTTCAACTCAAACTTCCGATGTTCACAATGTTTTTTTTTTTTTACAAATCAATTGAATTAACTAAAACTTTTTTTTTTTTAAAAAGAAGAATAAATAGACAAAGATTAAAGTAGTAGAAATTTTAAAATTTTGGTAACAAAATGACAATTTATTATTATAATAAACACAATTGCAATGTATTTCATTTGCAAATTAAAAAAAGACAAAGATTAACGTAGCCGAAATTTAAAGATTTTGGTAGCAAAATGATAATTTATTATTATAATAAACACAACTGCAACGTATTTCATTTACAAATTAAAAAAAAAAAAAAAAAAAAAAAAAAAAAAAAAAAAAAAAAAAAAAAACTAACTAACTAGATAGCAAATTAGCAATCCACAAAGTTATCCTAGAAGCTTGCTTGGAGTTGGAGGGGAAATAACAAATATTTAGTGAGAGGGCAAAAAAAACTACAATACTAATTATAAAAAAGAAAAAAAAATTGTTGGGGGGGCCAAGGCCCCCTGCAAGTTGAATGTGGCTCCGCCACTGACCACGAGTGGTAACTTTTTAAAACTTGGAGGACGACTTATGGTCCTTTAAAAATCGAATGATCACAACTGGTAAATGACTAATACTCAGAGGACCATTAAAGGTATTAACTCGGAGTTTCGATGCTCCTCCTTCGTTTTTCTTCAATGTGGGACAAGGCCAAAGAAAGCTTGCACGCTAGCTCCCTGTTGCTATATATATATATATATATATATATATATATATATATATATATAGTAGTTTTACATGCGTATTGCGCGAATGAGTTAATGCCTAATGTTTATAATTAAATAGGTATTTGAAAGTATATCAATGCAAGATTATAGATGAAAAGTTCATACATAAGTAATTGAATGTTGAATTTATTTATTTAAATATGTAACTCAAAGTATATGAATACAAGATAATATAGGAGATTCATTATAATTGTCACTAAAATAAATGTTTGCAACTTTATAAAATTTATAGTCTAACTACTTAGTCTAAAAAAATGGTAATCTAAATAAATGCTACTTTTAGTTTAAATTTTTCTAAGTATTCTTAATTCTCTTTTGAGTAGTATTGTCATTGTCTTCATCATCTTCACTATTTGTCCTCTTCTTTTTTTTTTTTTGTTGGTAATGTGTTATTTGCAATTGGGTTACTGTTGGCAGCATAGATGACAGCGTCATGCAATGAGATTATGGTGTAGGAAGCTGTGAATTTTTCTTGTTGTGTATATGACTGAGATCTTAGTTGTACCATGAACTCTTGATCTTACAAGCGCTTGTTGATATTTTGCAGTGGTAGTTTTTTCCCTTACATGTTTCATGTGGAAGTATTAAATAGAACCTCTTGTTTTATTTTCATAACTTGTTTACTTGATAATAACAATAATAACTCTGCAGGTAGTTCGAATACCGATGGTGTGTGTGTTTTTTTTTTAAAGTATTGAGTTGATATATACTAACCACTGTTTTAATTTCCACTTTGTGCATAATTTTTTTTTAAATAGTAACCAAGTATTTTTGTTGCGAAGAGTTCTAATATATTTAATGAATGCACATACAAGATCAATGACTGAATCAACGGTACCATTCCTTTAGGTGTTTTGCTTAGTGTTCATTTAGTTCAACCATTATTGTTGAATAAATTATTATGGATAAAGAAATTCATAATTTAAGGAATTTAAATAAACAAGTAAAAATTTTAAAATTTTAAATATAATGTAACCCAAAGATATATTGGACAATTAGTAAATATGATGCAACCCATATGTCAAAATGTTATTTAAAAAAAAAAAAAAAGTATTTAGTTATTCACCAGTTTGGAGCAACAATTTGTTCCAAACCACTGAAAATACAAACACTGCAATTTACAACGTTTTCACTTAACTTTTTGGAGAATAATTTTCCCAAAAGATATTAAAAAAAAAAAAAAAAAAAAAAAAAAAAAAAAAAAAAAAAAACGGCAACTCCTTAAATGACAAGAGCCAGACAATGCCAGTTTAGCTGGCTCACTGCTTGCCCATCAACAGATGTGCAAGCTTAATGTTTAAATTGGAGCCATAGGAACCTCAAGGCTCCCATGCCACTTTTTCTACTGATGTGGGCAAAGTGACAAAACTAAGGGGAGTCGAACGTTCGGCTCCCTATATATTTTATTTTTTTTATTTTATTTCTTTTATTAAATTATTATTATTATTATTATTATTATTATTATTATTATTATTATTATTATTATTATTATTATTATTATTATTATTATTATTATTATTATACCCTTTAGGTCATTTTACATGTTAATTTAAACAACTGATTTTATCAAATATTTTTTACCAACCGCTGATATAATTCGCTGGTCAAACCCGCTAATATAATCCGCTATTTGTTAACTGCTAACACAATCCGCTAACGCTAACCGCTAACTGCTGATTGTCAAACAAGGACATTGCGAGGTAGTTTCCCACTTCAATTTGTTGTGTGATTTGAACACTCTCTTTGTCAACAAATCTCCCAAGTAGTTAATATGATTGTCTTAATTATTTTTTTTCATGATATTAATAAAATACTTGTTAAATAAATATATAGCATTATTTTGTATTATAACTTTGATATTTAATTAAAAAAAATGTGTATAAAAAAAAGATATAGACAATGTAGTGAATACAATCAATTAATGAATTTGAATGTAAATAATTTTTACATTGGAGAAATTTAAAGACAATATAACTAATGAAATTATTTCTCTTATGAATAATTTTTTTAGATAAATGCATTGTAGACACATAATTCTAAATTTAAAAAATGCATATATATATATATATATATATATATATATATATATATATATATATATATATATATATATATATATATACTTTTTTTAGCTACTAAATTATTTAATTTAATAAAAGTAAAATAAAGTACTAATTAGGACAACTGTGATTGGGATGAAGTTCAAATCTAAGATCTTTCTGCTATCTGCTAATCAACTCACTACTGATTGCCAAACAAGACTTTTTGTGAAAATAGCCTGTCTAGTATATTTTGTTTGCTTATTCTTTTCTTCGTAACAACTTTTAAAATATTACGGAGTATTAAAATTGACAAATTCTCCTATGAGATTAGACCATTTCATGGATTCTCATCTGTGAGACAAGTCAGGTTTTTAATAAATATTGCATTTTTCTACGCAAGTATAATAATTTTTATCAGGAGTAACTTTTCAACACTTAATATTACATTTTGATTTTAAAGTATTACATTTTTCTTCAAAAGTATCACTTTTTTTTTATAAGTATTACACTTTCTCTCATAAATAACAATTAAACAATTTATCCATGATTAATATTACATTTTTTTCATATGTAACTATTCAGCCTTGAAATATTACATTTTGATTTAAAAATATTACATTTTTCCTAAAAGTATTGTACTATTAAAAGGTACATGTACTAAGAGCATTGCATTCACACCGATACTTGCATCTTGCCCTCCTTTAGGGCATCCTCAATAGTAGACATAGACGGAGCCAGAGGGGGGGCAGGGGGGTCAGCTGCCCCCCCTGCCCCCCTCACCCCACCCCACCCCTACCCTATATTGTATATAATATGTATATATAGTACATTATTCATATAAGTATTATAAAACAGATTATGTAAATAAAAGCTGTGATAGACAAGGTGGTAGCTAACCAGGGGCGAAGCCACCCCTACCCCAAGGGGGGTCCTGCCCCCCACCCCACCCCACCCCACCCCCATTTTTAATAAATATATAGGTATATATTATTATAATAGGGATAAATTACACTTTTGGCCCCCCCTCCTATTTTTTTTTTTAAAATAATAATCTATTATGTATATATTAAATGAACTCGAAAGTTACACTTTTCGTCCCTAAGTTATGAGATAATTGTAGAATTCGTCCATAATTGTTGGTCGTGTTCACTTTTCGTCTCTAAACTATAATTGACGTTGCAAATTTCGTCCTTTAAATGACATGTTGTGGTCACTCTTCCTTTCTAAGCTATACTTCGTTCCTAATGTTTTGTTAGTAAAGGGATGAAATTTGCAACATCAATTACGGAGAATATTTTAGGGACAAAAAGTAAGCATGACTAATAATTATGAATTCTTCAATTACCCTATAACTTAGTGGTTAAAAGTGTAATTTTTTCTATTTTTTACTATTGTATAATTTGTGTGTTATGTAAAAAAAATTCAAAAGTAATGTTTGACAATCTTAACGATCGTACTCATATAATTATATATTTCATATATTATTGTACATAGTATAATTAAAAATAATTATCAATAATAATTGGCACAATCATATATGGTATATATATAATAATATTGTGTGGTTGGTACTAATATGGACTAAGATAATAAATTTCTTCTATAAATTTGGCCCCCCAACCCCAGTTTTCTGGCTCCGCCACTGTAGCTAACGTATATGAGTTTCGAAATGGCCTGGGTTCGAGTCTTTGCATTGACAATGTTACAGTCTTTTTCACTTTTTTGATTAACACAATTAAATTTTGGCATGATATATATAACTTCCATTATAACTTTCTTTATATTAATAATGAAATGTGTAATTTATAATGTGTTTTATATTCGAATTGTTTTATCAAATTAATTATGTTTCATATTTTGTTATAAATATTTTT